ACCATTTTTTATCATAATCCAGCAGCAGAAGAATCCAGACTAAATCTAAACAATGTCGGAAAATGATAATAATGAAGGGATAAGCCGTCAGTGAACGCATCACATCTCAACCCATCAGTCCCGGTCCGACTCCACATCCAAACAGAAACCGGGTCAGAAGCTGCTGTTAGCGGTTAGCTTTCTGGTGATCAGCTTCCTTCGTCTGCTGTTGCTCTTGACAACTGTACAATCCAGCCAGAGACGGCGGCCATCTTTACTGCGGCGGCCATCTTTACTGCCAGAAGTCTCCGGGTTGTTCCAGTGGTTCATGATGGCAGGAAGGAGAAATGTGTGTCTCCACCCTGAGCTGCAGCTGAAGGCCTCTCTGCTCCGTCTGCTTTAATCTGAGTCTTTGGCCTGTTGCTGTCTTGCAGCTGCTGAGCATGAGGAACAGAGACGGAGGATTTGCTACGTATGAAACTAAACGAGGAGGAAAACTCCTGGAGCTGCTCAACCCGTCTGAAGTGTTTGGTAAATGTCATCAAGCTTCAGAGAAAATGGCTGCTTGTTTACAAATCTGAGTTACTATTGCAGTAACATAATATGAAATATATTTTTCCCTTCATGCAGTTTAGGCTCTGAGAAAAGAGAACTGAAGCTTCAGATGGCTCTCAGGTTTAGGGCTGATGTGGTTTTTAACCGGGCGCTCTGCTCCTCTGCACCAGGTGACATCATGATAGACTACACCTATGTGGAGTGCACGTCTGCAGCCATGCAGGCGCTGAGGCATTTCCTCCAGGCTCACCCTGATCACCGCGCCGCAGAGATCAGGTAGAGAAACATCCGTCTTCTGGCTTCACTACAGCAGGGCAGTTTACTTTCCACTTCCATTCAGGTACAATTATTACATATTTAAAATGAAGAAATGTTGAAGAAAAACTGATAATGCAGCCAAGTTTACAGTTGGGAGTTCAACAGCGGAACATTTTACATCAGTGTTCAGTGAGGATCAAAAAACAGCAGGACAGAGACCTAACAACCCAGCACTCCATGCAGTTTTAAGAGCTCAGTGTGAATCACTGTAACTCAGAGCTAACAGTGTAATTCAAATGTTAAGTCCTGAATTCTGCTCAGGTTCTGACCAGCATCTTCATTCTGATACAGAATCAGCTGGTTTCTCCCAACAGTTTGAAGAGAAAACTTCCTGTTAGTAATCAATAACTGTTTAAAGGATGTGTGTCGTGACAGGAAGCAGCTGAAAGTCTAACTTTCCTGCAGTGTTTAATTGGCACTACATGCTGTTCAGAGAATGTTTTTGTTTTTGCATCATAAAAAGATTTTTCCTGTAAATTCTTGGATTTTGTTTCAGTTTTTGAAATGGGATTAAACTTCCACAGTTTTTCCACTCAGGCTTAATAATAATAGATTTATAGTTTAATAACAGGAAATCTGTAGAGTGGTTTCTGATGTTAGAATAAAACAATTTTATAAACAGGTGATTATAAATGAAGGCAAAATGAATCAAAACTGAGAGTTTCAGAAAGCTGAAGTTCTGCTTGCTGCTCAGATCCACCCTGAGACGGCCTGGAGTTCTGCCGGCGGGTTCAGAGGACCGATGGATCCTGGGAGGGGTGAGCCCGTCTTTATCTCCGGGGAGACGTCCATCAGACGTAACTTGTGTTGTTCTGCTTGTTCCTCAGATCCTGGGGAGTTTGCTTCACGTATGGAACGTGGTTCGGTCTGGAAGCCTTCGCCTGCATGGGTCACACCTACAAGGCCGAGTAAGACGGACCAACTCACGTCTGCCGCCAGGGTTTCAGGAACCCTGACTGAACGCCGTCCTGTCTGTCAGCAGAGACGTTCCGGTGGAGGTGCAGAAAGCCTGCCGGTTCCTGCTGGAGCACCAGATGTCTGACGGAGGATGGGGGGAGGACTTCGAGTCGTGTGAGCAGCGGCGCTACGTCCAGAGCGGCGCGGCTCAGATCCACAACACCTGCTGGGCTTTACTGGGACTCATGGCCGTCAGGTGAGGCACCGAGCTGGACTTCAGGGAAGAGTCCAGGAGGTTGCTGAAGGTTTCCTGATGTTTCTGCAGACATCCTGACCAGCAGGCCATAGAGAGAGGAGTCCAGCTGCTGGTCCAGAAGCAGCTTCTCAACGGAGACTGGCCTCAGGTGAAGCAACGCCTCTTTAACTCTGATTGTCGTTCTGCTGCTAAAACCAAATCCAGCGACAGTAAGAAAACTTTTGGGTTTCAGGAAAACATTTCTGGTGTGTTCAACAAGAGCTGCGCCATCAGCTACACCTCCTACAGAAACGTCTTCCCCATCTGGACCTTGGGCCGGTTCTCCAGGCTCTATCCCAGCAGTCCGCTGGCCGGGAAGCTGAAGCTCTAACATCCTGACCTCTGACCCACTCACATGCTTTCCTTCTTATTGCATCAGCTGTAGCAGACATTACAACAATCAGTCAGACACTAACATCAGTGAAAAAATATTAGTGTCTTTTCACTGATGATCAGTCATCAGTGAAAAGACACATGCAGCTAATTGGAGTCACTGATGACTGATCAGTGACTGATCAGTGATCAGTGACTGATCACTGATCAATGATCAGTGATCAGTCAGTGATCAGTGATGACTGATCAGTGACTGATCACTGATCAATGATCAGTGACTGATCAGTGATCAGTGACTGATCACTGATCAGTGATCAGTCTGATCAGTCATCAGTGACTGATCAATGATCAGTGATCAGTCACTGATCATTGATCAGTGATCAGTCAGTGATCAGTGATGACTGATCACTGACTGATCACTGATCAATGATCAGTGACTGATCACTGATCATTGATCAGTCAGTGATCAGTGATCAGTCACTGATCACTGATCAGTGACTGATCACTGATCATTGATCAGTGATCAGTCACTGATCAGTGACCAATGATGACTGATCACTGACTGATCATTGATCAGTGATCAGTCACTGATCAGTGACCAATGATGACTGATCACTGACTGATCAATGATCAGTGACTGATCATTGATCAGTCACTGATCATTGATCAGACACACACAAAGGATGTGTGTCGTGACAGGAAGCAGCTGAAAGTCTAACTTTCCTGCAGTGTTTAATTGGCACTACATGCTGTTCAGAGAATGTTTTTTGTTTTTGCATCATAAAAAAGATTTTTCCTGTAAATTCTTGGATTTTGTTTGAGTTTTTGAAATGGGATTAAACTTCCACAGTTTTTCCACTCAGGCTTAATAATAATAGATTTATAGTTTAATAACAGGAAATCTAACTCAAATCATTGAAATCTAATCATTGATCAGTGACTGATCAGTGATCAATGATCAGTCACTGATCATTGATCAGTGACTGATCAGTGACCAATGATGACTGATCAGTGATCAATGATGAATGATCAGTGATCAGTCATCAAACTGGTGTATTGATGATTTTGATGATGCATTTGACAGAATGTGATGTTTGTTGCTGGTCTCACAGTTGAATATTTTCCAATGTTTTATGATGTAAAGCACATTTAACCGCCTTGTTGCTGAAATTATGCTATATCAATAAACTTGACTATGTATCGTTCATAAAGTACAATCTTTGTAAAATATGCATTTATTAACAAAAAAAGGAAAATCTTTGAGGTTCCTAAACAAATCCTGGCTCTGGGCCCAAACCCTCTAAAGTCTGGCCCAGAGTGAAGGATTGTGGGAGTTGAAGTGAAGCTTGTCAGCAATGTGGTCATTTTTTCATGACATGGAAAGCATTGAGAAATATATACAAGAAAATATTGGTTATAACAGCAACACAAATATTGAATGCTGATACCGGCCCAAACTGTCCTACTGGCGTTTTCCTAATTTCATTGCTTATCTTGACATATTGTACAGTAACCAGGAAGTAACCAGGCTGTAACCAGGAAGTAACCAGGCTGTAACCAGGAAGTAACCAGGCTGTAACCAGGAAGTAACCAGGCTGTAACCAGGAAGTAACCAGGCTGTAACCAGGAAGTAACCAGGCTTTAACCAGGAAGTAACCAGACTGTAACCAGGAAGTAACCAGACTGTAACCAGGAAGTAACCAGGCTGACCGGCTAAAAAAGACCAACATTTTCAGGAAACAGTAAACAATGATCTCATTCGAGCTTCATGAAACTGTTAGTCCGTTTAAATCAACCTGCAAATGATCAAATCAGTGGCATAAAATCTACATGTGCTTTAGTAATGTATGTAGATTTTTGAATACGATTACATTTATGAAAATCAGATGATTTAGTCTGTAAAGGTAGTTATAAATCAATAGGACTCCCACATATGAAGACGATTACTGAACAGTATCTCCATGTGAAAACAGACTGTTCCTTCAGCCAGATGATGGAACTGCAACGTTTTCACTTTAAGTCATGTGAGGGTCTGGATCAGCAGACTTGGATCCGCAGGCTGATGATGAACGGTTTGGACCTGAGGGCAAAGCAAAGCATCTCTGGCTCAGTCAGAAACATCTGAACTTCTGTAGAGCTTCCAGACACAGTGGAAGAAAACAGGAGAGGCAACATGGCAGCACAAGTTTCTACAAACTGCTTCACAGGCCACTGGGTCGACTTTCCAAAATCAGGGCTCAACTTATTTACTGGTTTACTTTAGGAAACCTCCACAGTGAATAAGAGCCATAAAGCCAATTTTGGAAAGAAATAATCAGGGACTGGCTCAAGTTGTTTTTAAGCTGAAACTGGGTTTATGAACATGGATCAGGTTTTTAGCCTGACTGAGTTTAGTCTAGTTGTTAATGATCAACTTGCACAACTCTGGCTGCAGCTCTATAAAATAAAGTTTGGCATTGAAAAAGAGCATTTATTTATCCTTCTGTCAGGCTGAATTATAGTTTCCATTAAATGTATTTATTTATTCTGGAAGAAAAGAAGTGAAAAGCAGCGGGTGTGGCTTCTCTGTGTGGACAATAAAAACCCTCATGACTTCCTGAGTCTCATTTCGCCTGCGGTTCAGCGTCTGCTTCCTTTCCTCGGTCCGACCCGTCAGCAGACCGCTCAGCATCAAACTCTGGGACTTTACTGGGAAACAGTCGGTAAGTTTTATAATTTTGTGTAAACGAACTAAAAACCACCAAAAGATTCTATATCACTGCCTGCTGAAGTTAAATTGTCTTGAATGTCTTTTGCAACATGAAGTTCTGAATGAACGTGTCAGAGAGCATTCCTGGTTTCATAACAACCATATCAGGGCAGCAGAAACGCAGTTTGGACATGAATGAAAGCTTCATATTAACACACAGCAGTTATTTTTAGGATAGTAGGAAAATACTACATTTAATAAGAATGTCACTTTGGGATTTGATCCTATTATATAAATGCATGTGCCTGAAATATTAGAATATTGCCTGATAACTGTTACTGCTTGAACTATTAAAGCTAATTTAAAATAGTTTAAATGAGAGAATTCACTAGATTCATTTTAATTCTCATCATTGTGGACTAAAAGAAACTATTAGAGAGATGAGGAAAGCAGTGGGTGTGACGTCTGTGTGGACAGCATAGGTTTCATTTACTGGGAATCTGATACTTCCTCTAGATTCTGTCCCTCAGTCCCATCTCACTGAATTCATGTGTTACATTTACACACTGGTTTCATAGAAAGCATATTTATTATGGTTAACCATATTTAGGCTTTTAAGATAAGATACATAAGTCAGATTAGGATTTCCTTTTAATAGTATAGTTATGATTTTGATTGTTTCATGTTTAATTTGTATTATTTCAGTAGAAATGGATTCCCATATTTTTGTCTGGATTTTATTTGCTGAACGCAGGAAGCAAATAAAACTTAGAGATTCCAGAATTAATTCAAATCACACATTTGGTTTTTCTTGACTCCAACTCTAATATTTCTGTGGACATATTTGATATAACAAAATCAGGACCTGTGGTCGTCCTTTCAATTTCTGCATGATGATATAAACCAATGAAACATCAAAACTCTAACATTCAGTTAAATGAACCAATCACTTTTGCAGACTACAGTATGTTGCAACAACAACTCATTTCATTCCAGCTCCATTATTATTGTGCTTCTTCTTTTGATTACATCTGCATTGTTTCCATTTTGCTGTAGATCAGTTTAGTGATTAATCCTTTCTCAGTGATTCTAGTTTATGTCTAGTGACAAGTTCCTCTTCAATTCCTTTTTGTTTGCTCCCTGCCTGCTGCATGTTCTCCATCACTGCCTGCTGCATGTTCTCCATCACTGCCTGCTGCATGTTCTCCATCACTGCCTGCTGTATGTTCTCCATCACTGCCTGCTGTATGTTCTCCATCACTGCCTGCTGCATGTTCTCCATCACTGCCTGCTGCATGTTCTCCATCACTGCCTGCTGCATGTTCTCCATCACTGCCTGCTGCATGTTCCGCAATAGAACATGCTGGGAGAAGTTGAACTCTGTGAATTTCAAACTGTCAAACACTTCAACACTCCAGGCTGCTTCTTTGTTGTTGCAATCATCAATTTATTCCACCTTAACTGCCATAACTTCAGATTTTACTGGACTGACACATACTGACCAGGGACATGATAGTATAGTCAACAGAAATTATGACCGGTGTTCTAGATTAACTGGTGGCGGCAGCTGGCAATGACAGGTGTTTGTATGGGTGTGGCTTTTTAGGAACCCTTACTGAACCATTAAGTAAACAGGGTGATAAGCTTAAAAAACTAAAAATTTTACGGCATTGGAAATACTATCTCAGGAATAACTAATTAGAAAGACTTTTATTGGTCTAATATGGCATTTTGCCTTTTTTTTTTTTTTTGTTTTGTTTGTTTTTTTACATTAATCTTCAAACTAACCAAAACATGTAAATTATGCAGAACTTGCCCTGATTTATGTGTTGCTTCAGAGGTTGAAACTCATCAAAGGAAGATCGAAATAGATCCCAAGATGCCATAAACATATCTCAAAGCAAAGATTAATCCCAAAAACCACATAAATATGGAAGAGCCCTGGGATTAAAAATAAAATGTTTAAAAGAATCGACTGGCTATGTTTTTTTCCACATCTTCCTCATATTGCATGATATTTCAATTAGATATCCACAAAAACAATCTTTTAAAACACTGTTTTTGTAACATGTTATAGTTTATTCCCTAGTTCATCTACAGAAGACATGGCTGCCGCAGATCTATGTGGCAGCCATTTCTTCTGTATTGATATTTTTTTCTCGTAATTTAACTAAACATCTCTGTTCTTTTCATCAAGTGATCCTAATACTAAACCATAAGAGATAACGCTGAAAAAACAATTGACTTATATACTATTACACAGTCTTGTATAGTAACGAAGTAAAATACTTCACTACTTTACTTAAGTATATTTTGGAGTACTTCATACTTTCCTCGAGTATGAAAATGTTTGATAACTTTCACTTTTACTTCACTATATTTCATACTTTACTCCGATACATTTTCAATGTGTGCTTTAGTTACTCGTTACAAAAAACGAGAGAGAAACGCAAATGTTTTGATCCAACCTACTGATCAACTGCAACAAAGCCTGCTTGCCTGGGCTTGTTCATCTCCACCAATAGGATGTACAAGTTTCGCACCTCCCCACTACGTCACAAAGTCCAGCAAACAGTCTGATTAGTTAGTGCTCCGTTTGTGCAGGTTTGTGTCGTTAAAAACAAATGCAGCAAAGTTGTTTTCAGTTTGGATTTTGGCGATTCCAATCCGGTGTGAGCGGCGTCTAGCTCGAGGTTGATCCGATTCATGAACGCTAATTTGGGCCAGCCGGTCTCTGGTCTCCCCCTTCCTCAAGGTGTCAGAGTTTCACTCAGGGAGAGTCAACAAATTTTACATCCAAACTCTCCTGAGAAACTAATGGAAATAGATTTCTTGCCTTGTGACCAACTGACACTAAATTCATGACACATTCCTAGAAATTGTAATCTTAAAAAGTATATATTTTGGATGGCCTAAAAAATAAATGTTAATATCTCGGAAACCAAAGCTGCACAAACGAAAATTTTAGTGGCACAAAACTGAGCAAAAACGGAGCACTGACCAATCAGACTATTTGCTGGATTATTTGAGTAGGTGGTATCAGCTTCACGGAGGTCTGTTTCGCTTCTCCCATTAAACACCAAGTTAACTAAAATCTCTCCCTCTTCAGATGCCAAATAAGCTGCATTTCCCTCCCAATTCTTTGTCTTTTGCATAATGACCAGTTGTTGCACCTATAGTGTGTGAAGTAGAGGAATCCTAACAGCTTTTTTTCTTCATGTTTTCCGCATTTTCTGTACTGACTATTTATTTTTCTCATTTTCAGCACTGACCTTACTGAAAGGGAAAACTTGAGGCTTATAGAAACTTTGTATTTTCTGTCCTGGAGGGTTTACTAAGAAGCTGGTTCAGTTGGAAAGCAGGTTAAGTTAATCTAAAGCAGGTTAAGTTAATCTAAAACAGGTTAAGTTAACCTAAAGCAGGTTAAGTTAACCTTGTGGTTTAAGTAAAGCACCTAATGTTCTTAACTAAATGATGCTGCAGGTTTATCTATTAGCAGGTTTCATTTTCCTGCACTTGGTTGTGTTCATTATTTTAAGTGTATTTAACAAGTTTACCAAATATAAAAAATGTCATTCAAACTGCATTTGCCTTGTTTTACTTTTTACTTTTCATTACATTACTTGAGTTCATCCATTGTTACAGTAATTTCCATACTTAAGTACAAGACATTTCAGATACTTTAAGACTTGAACTCAAGTAACATTTCAATCAGTGACTTTTACTTTTACCAAAGTCATATTTTTGGAGAGGTACCTATACTTTTACTTGACTCTTAGATTTCAGTACTTTATACAACACTGCTTTTACACCAGAAACAGGTTAAAATCATCACTCGAACTGAGATTCTGAAAATGTCACCAGTTAATCCAGGTGTGCTCCTGTTATTGATCAGAATCAATAACAGGTAGGATGATCAGATTTCCGTTGCCGACATAGTGTAATAGAAAAAACATCGCTCTCAAAACTCAGTCCAGTTAGAGAAGTCGTCTAATTCACATTTTGGACCTGTTTATTTTATTGTCTAAGAAAATAATATGCACTAGTGTGGTATATTTTGGTGATATTTCCATATATTCTTGAATATTCCTTCACATACAAATAATTATTATTGTCTTGAAGAGCTCAAAGAGAAAGAGTCATTTTCTAACCCGTTTATTTACATTTGTTGAGTTTTGATCAGGAAACGACACAGCCACCTATTTATTTTACAAACATCTGCGTTGAGGACCCTGTTTGAGTCTCACAAGTTAATCCAGGTCTTAAAGCGGATCGTTTTGTTTTTAAGTTTATTTCCAGTCTGCAAACTGGTTCCCAGTAGAGAACAAATACCGTAGATATGGATCATAATCTGTTGATATCTGACAGTATAATGTAGGAACGTTTATTATTATAATTTTCACTTGTCCTTTTGGATTCACCATCAACTGCAACATCAGCTGTTAACTTTTATCATTTAGATGAGATTTTATTGCAGTATAACTCAAAGATATTCCTTGATATTCCTCTGTATTAGTAAACACCACAGCAACACCACCAGTATGTGATTTAAATTTTATTAAATATGATGACATCAACCTCATTTAGAGTCGCTAAATGCGGTTCTGATCCAATGCGGTGTTTTCGAAGCGCACTGAACGCTGCTCTGAGGAAACTTGTTTTGAAACATAAATTTCACATGCAACATTAAACGTATTTGCTTCAAATGAGATTTGTTGTAAAGTTTTGCAAACGGTTTTATCACACAAAAAGCATTTTTCAGCAGGCATCAACACAGCCACCTCCAATTCAGAAACATCTGCGGTGAGCAGAAGTTTCAACCAGTTAATTTATCCACCAGTTGATCTGTAACACCAGCACCAGCGCACCCCGTTTCCTCTTACATGCAAAGCCAGGATGGCTCCCATTCATACCTTAGTGAGTCACGCCCACCTCGACACGCCCACCCAAGTGTCAAAGCCGTTTGCTGCTGCCACATCATTAATTGCTCATTTCAATCTTATTATGGCTCTTACAAATCATATTTCATCTGGGGAAATTGTATATATAACACAAACACATACATCAACACACACATTGACTTACCTTATGCCGAATCGCTGCCTCCATTCTTGTAGTATGGATTTCTTCCCACTTTATTTTCCTTCAACAAATTATTCCAGGGAATAAAGTTACTTTTTAACCCCCGTCTTCCCATTCTGATCTCCAATATCCTCAAGCTTTGAAACAGCAGGCAGCTATAAACCGTGTGTTATCTTTAGTAGCTAAGTTTGGCTACGGTCTGCTGACACATTGATATCAGCAGGAAAATGAAAAACTGAGCACTGGACGGTACCGGCTAATTACTGGACACAACGGGATACAACGAAACTCAGCTGTTCCAGCAGCTCACACATATTTGAACTTTTGTATCTTGTTCATGGTACAGCTCTTGCAGATATGGCCAGGGGAGCAACAATCTATGTGGTGAAACTGTAAACGGAAGTGCGTCACCAACCTTTTTATTACGGTTGGGTTTGGGTCTGATATCAAGGCCCTGACGCCTAACCCAACCAAAAGAAAATGAAAAAACATGGTGTAGTAACTAATAAAGACTTTGTGGTGTTCTGATTTAATGATGTAATTATATTAGTTGTGTTACCTCCCCACGCCACTAGAGGCAGTATCAGGCCCCAAAAGATGCAACGAAGGAGCAGATTTAGAATGGAAAGCTACAGAATTGGCCAAGTACACTTTGCTGCAGCATTATTATTATTACGCATTATCGCCGCTTCTTTAAGATATTTATACTAGTGATTGTGAAAATAGCGCCCCCTTCATTTCCGGAATGCAATAGTCCCATTTCCATATAAGGTCTGAGGTCTGAGACTGACAGTGGTCCGTCCCCACCCCTTTCTGCATGCTGCAGCGAAGACCCTCTCGAATCTGTTAAAAACTGTGATCTGCCCTAAAGAAAATACAAATGGGAGGAAATAGCGCCCCCTTCCCTTCCGGAGTGCAATGGTCCCATTTCCAAATAAGGTCTGAGACTGATAGCGGTTCGTTCCCCTTCCTGTTAGCTGCTGCGAAGTGAACTTGCGTACAACCGCTACTCGTGTCTGTTTAACAGCACAGCTCAGTTGAACATTGTTTTTATTTTCACATTTAGGGCTGGAGTGAAGGGAGAGGGAGTTTAAGAGGAAGTTGATTTGTTTTTACTCGTCTCCCCCTGAATAAAAGATTTCATTGAAACCTGGCTGAATGACCTCTAGAAATTCATTGATGCAACCCATTACAACAACTTTCTTATATTGTGTTTCAGATCCCTGTTTTGTGCCGGTTCAGTCAGAGGGACTGCAGTTATCAATACGTGATCCTTGTGGGCCGGCCTAGTCAAAGTCCAAGGCTGTTTTTTGGGGCCAGTCCTTCCTGGGTATGTATGAAAACATGTGGAGTGTTTAGGTTTCATTTCCTGAGAATGAAAACAACCTTATCACTTCCTGCATTCATCAGATTGTGCTTTACGTCTCTCAGTTCGACCTGTTGGTCGACGACTCGGCATCAAACTCCAAACATCTCTGGCGGTTTTCTGGAATCGGTAAGTTGTACAGTTATTTACAGTTCTTTGCTTCTCCTTGTTGTTTATTACAACAGACATTTGTTCAGTACTGAAAGATAATATTTGTATTCTCTTTAATAGGATAATATTTGGGTGTTTGAGTAAAGTGAGCAGGCTGCTACAAATATTCAGTCAAATTTGAGTTTACAATTTAGTACAAGTTCTTATTTTCTGAGTCAATAACTGTTTAAATATTTTTTGCAGCGATTGCTTGTGATTTAATTTTCAAGAAAAAGGACAAAGACCATGTCAGAAATTGTTGAATCTGAAGTAAGTACCACCAAAAACAGTGAGCTATGTGGAAAACAATATCTCTACACAAATATTGAAGGTTATTTTAAATTACACACATACAAGTATAAACCATTAAACTTCTAATTTCAAGAATAAATACAGAATTCAGGCATAATTAATAAATAATTAATTCAAAATAATTTCTGCTTTTATTTTTAAAAGCAGAAAGTTAACTTGGAGAACAGAAAGACTTACTTTAGTTTTTATTTAAATTTCAGGTTGAAGATCTGCTGCCGGGTATTGATCACTGGATCAAAGTCAGAGAGTGGACCCTGAATGTCTCAACTGCGTACAAGCTATTTGAAGAACAAATCCATAAATTTAGTTATTTTCTGTTAAGGTCATCACATTTAACCGAACAGGTTGTAAATCTGGACCATATAAATTAATTTATCCTGGAGATAAGTCAATCAAGTTAAAAAGAGATAACCAGACATTTTGCTCCATCAACCCGTATCCATTCGGTAAATACCATAATGCTACCAGATATATAAAGGACAACATTCTTAATGTCCCAGAATCAGGCGTCTCAGACTTTATTGAACCTTGGCATGAATATAAAGCTTTTATCAATACACCTGATGAAAATCAACTGGAGAAGTTCATCACTGAGGTCATTCGGTTTGCAGCTGCCTGCATGAACAGCCGCACCAATGGTACCATACATTTTGGAATTGGAGACCAACCAGACTTTGTTCATGGTCAGATAGTGGGAGTTGCTGTTAATGACAAACAAGAGTACCTAAAAGCCCTAAAATCAGCCATTGATAATAACTTTGAACACAAGCACAAGTTTGCTGCTCAGAAATCTATTAAAACTCCTCGATTCGTTGAGGTTCTAAACAGAAATATATTATCTCATGAATTTGTGATTGAAGTGGATATTGAGCCTCTGTTTGCCATCTGTAGAGAAAACATCTTCCACACCTTTAACATGAAGAAACATAAGAAAAAGAGAAGACAGAAAATGTTCATCATTAGAGATGGTGCTAGCACTAGAGACCTTCTTGTCCCAACTACATTCGCCAAGCCTTTGGTTGAGTATGATGAGTTTGTTAAACAAATACCTAAACTATCACAGCTACGTAAGAAGGCAGAGGAGAAGCACTTAGATTTAACTGAACATGTTGTAAAACGTGGGCCATATACAATGAATAATTGTCCAAGAGATAAGTTAATCAAGTTAAAAAGAGATAACCAGACATTTTGCTCCATCAACCCGTATCCATTCGGTAAATACCGTGATACTACCAGATATATAAAAGACAACATTCTTAGTGTCACTGAATCAGGCACCTTAGACTTTATTGAACCCTGCCATGAATATAAAGCTTTTATCAATACACCTGATGAAATCAACTGGAGAAGTTCATCACTGAGGTCATTCGGTTTGCAGCTGCCTGCATGAACAGCCGCACCAATGGTACCATACATTTTGGAATTGGAGACCAACCAGACTTTGTTCATGGTCAGATAGTGGGAGTTGCTGTTAATGACAAACAAGAGTACCTAAAAGCCCTAAAATCAGCCATTGATAATAACTTTGAACACAAGCACAAGTTGCTGCTCAGAAATCTATTAAAACTCCTCGATTCGTTGAGGTTCTAAACAGAAATATATTATCTCATGAATTTGTGATTGAAGTGGATATTGAGCCTCTGTTTGCCATCTGTAGAGAAAACATCTTCCACACCTTTAACATGATGCAAGACAACACTAGACAGAAAATGTTCAACATCAGAGATTGTGCTAGCACTAGAGACCTTCTTCTCCCAACTACACATGCCAAGCCTTTGGTTGAGTATAATCAGTTTGTTAAACAAATACCTAAACTATCACAGCTACGTAAGAATGCAGAGGAGAAGTACTCTAAACCAATAAAAACCACAACTCAAGGCTCCAGGTTAATTAACATGATTACAGGTGGAGCCTCATCGTTGGATAAGTCCAATTTTGAACATTATGTCATCGTGACAAACAAATCTCATCCAAGCCATTTAGAAATCTGGAATTTCTCGTAGAGCTCAAACCAACAGCTGTTTTAGATTTTGATCCTGAATCGGCTGAACAAGGATTACTGAGTTACTTTAAACAGCAGATCAGGATGAACCCCCATTTACTAGAAAATATGAAAGAATAGATAATAATAATACTGTCCAATTAGAATTACTTAAATATAGGAATAAGGAACCCTCAGAAAAAAAGGCACCTCGATTCGAGACGTCCTGAATAAGAGCTTCCTTGTCATTTTCTTGCTTTTATCGCCAGTCAGGGACGTAATCGATCCGCTTGTTGAGACCTTCAGCATGTTCCTCCAGGAGCTCGGAGAGTTAGGACGCTTCCTCTGTATATGTGACAATGAGAATACATTAAATTCATGGAAGGATCTCATTGAGGCTAAGTGTACAGTCGACATCTCTGATAGATGTATCTCTGAGCTCAGTTTTGCTGAAGTCAATGGAACCGTCCTCAGTCTCTGGTCCAAGAACCGCAGAGCCAAACGGTTCCTAACCTGTGGGGGTGGGAGCAAAGTTGGTCTTGAAAAGAAATTTGAGCAAACCTTGAATACTTTGGAGATCCTGTGTGTGAATCAGTGTGAAGGAGGAAATGAGGACAGAGTTGCCATAGAGGAGAAGTTCTATAGAGGTGGGAAGGTATCATGGTGGAATTTCCATTTCTCTGAATTACCTGGATTAACACCATTCATTAAACGGGACAAGTTTGATTACATCGTGAATACTGGTATACCACATTTGTGCTCCCAACCAAAAGCTTGTGTCCTGTTCAGTCTTCTCCATCAACCTGGTTGTGGTGGGACCACCTTGGCCATGCATGTGCTGTGGGCTCTTCGGGACAGATATCGCTGTGCCGTCCTCAGGGAAAAGTCTGACTTTATTGACGTGGCTGATCACGTGATCCAACTTTTAATGTATCAATATGATGAGCAAACACCAAGAGTTCCTGTACTGCTGATGATTGATGACTTTGAGGACATGGAGAAGGTTGAAGAATTACAGTCTGCAATTGAAATGCAGTTTATTGAAACAAAGATTCAGGCTCCAAAGGTCATCCTCCTGAACTGTATGAGGTCAGAGTCCAACACAGTGACTGAACTAACTTCACACACTGTGTTTATTAAGAAAGATATAGAAAGAAAACATAAGAATAATAATCATGGTTAATCAAATAATTTAATTATTTTAATTAAATTAAAATAATTACATTTAAATAAATAAAATTATTCATTAATTAAATAAATTAAAACATTATTTTTAATAAATGGTTAATTAATTAAACATAAATCTTTAATAAAATAAATTTATTTTTTATTAATGTTTTTGCCACATTAATAAATAAAATAAAGATTAATTAATTAAAGAAGATTGCAAAATATAATATAATAAATATTATATTTTCAAATCAAAATCTTTGAACTGGTCTCAAGAACTAAAACGTAGAATATTTTAAAAGGTTTTTGCAGAACATGCTGAAAAACCTCCAATAGTTTAATTGTTTGATTATTATGTTCAATTGGAATGTATGTATGATTACATTGAATTGACATTTCTGTAATGTACCTGGAGATGACACTTTGTGAATTGATTCTGTATGAATAAAGGTAATTTCAAGAATTGAATTTTAATGAATCCAAATGTCATGTTCTGTGTTTCCAAGTTTACTTTTGCGTTCCCTGTTGTCTCTGTGCTGTCCATGTTGTCCTGTCATCCCTTTGTTACTCCCAGGTGTGTTTTATTCCTTGATCACCCTCAGTGTATTTAACCCCACCTGTGTCTCTTGGTCCTCGTCTGTTCAGTCTCTTCTCCCTGTGGTCTGTTCTCCTGCCCTTCGTTGACCCGGTGCTACCGTCTGTCGAGCCCAGGCTTCAGCTCACTGATAAACTGGTTGCAGGTTGACCTGCCTCAGGTCAACCTGCAACCAAAACCTACCATAATGGTGGTGATGTCAGGGACTGAAGGCTCAGTTATTGTCGCTTTGACAGTTTGTGTTGAGCGCTTTTGAACCAACCAGTAGTTTGGTGTTCATAATAAAAGTTTATATTAGAGTCGCCAGATTGTTCAGTTCATGGCGACTTACAAACATCCAGAGATGCATGAGGAGCTGCTCATTCAATGAGCTTCTGGTTCAACCCGTCAACCAGGCTTCAGGGAAAATGTAGATGTTTTGTCTGAGAGGAGTGACATTTAATTTTACTGCTAAAAACTATTTAAAAAACATAATAATTGACAGGGCCGAATAGTTTAGATTTCTGTAAAAAAAAAAAAAAAAAAGTATATTTTGTGGGAAACTCCCCTGTCAAGTTTTAATTTTAATGGCTTTAAAACATAATTACAGCATTCAGCCTTATGTCAAATCTGAATCATTTACATAAGATTTCAGAAACAAACTAAATTTACTTCCTGCCTGAGGGAACCACAAGACCCGGTTCTGGTCCAGAACATTCAAGTCCTGGTTCTAAACTGACCCGGTTCTGGTCCAGAGTAAAAAGTTAAATACTCACATCCCTTCAGTCATGTCTGCAGAACCGGACTCTCCAGAACCAGAACACCGGTCGGCTCCTGCTGTGCAGATGAAACCGCGTCTCCCAGCAGCCTTCAGCTGTACGGGGGCGGGGCTACAGCCGAGCCGTCCAATCAGATCCTCGAACCCCTCAAGGGTTGAATCAAAAACAAACTGAAGGTTTTACATGAAAATATTTATTTAATATTTGGACAGAATGGAAATAAAACGATTTCAACACATTATTTATTATCGGAGCCCAATACAGGAAGAACCCGATTCTACAAAACTAAATATTTATAAAAGTCCTGATTTTAGTTCTGATGATGATAATCCGTCTTCAACATCTTCCTGATCTTCAGTCGTCCACGATGCTCAGCAGGCCGCTCAGCTTCAGCCTGCAGGCCCGTTCTTCTTCTCTGCTCGCCACGATCTGCTGCTGCAGCTCCTGCAGCCTGCGGGCCAGAGGGACGGGCGGCGCCGCGGAGCGGGTCGCTGCGGGGCGGGTCGTCGCTGCGGGGCGGGTCGCTCGGTCCACTCGCTCCTCTGTCTCTGGTTTCTGGGAAACCAAAATGACAACAAACTTAAAAACAACTGAAATATTAAAGTTGTGTCCAAAGTGACCAGAGAAGAAGAAAAGGGAACCTGCGATGCTGCAGCTGCTGCTGCAGGCGCAGAAACCCGCATGGTGGACGGAGAGGACAGCAGGGTGGAGGACGGGATGAAGAGCGGGGTCGCCAGGTGGTCCAACGGGTCGCCGTCCATCCAGCGCTGCAGCTGCTCCAGACTCCTGCAGAGAGAGCGTCACCGTGACGACAGAACCGATCCACATGGAGATTCAGGAAGAAAGGTTCTAATCCGACCAGATCAGAACCAGGAAACCCAAACAGAACCGCCTGGAAGGTCTCGCGGTTCTGACAAGGTTGGAAACTAAAGAGTCAACCAGAACCAGGCCGTTGTCATGACTACCTCCTGCTCTCTGCCTTCTCCTCCTCCAGGTTCTGCAGAACCCGGTGGGCCAGCAGCTCCTCCGCGCTCGGCGTGTGTGTGAAGTCCAGGCGAGGCGGTGGGGCCCGGGGGCCGGTGGGGCCCAGGGGCCCGGTGGGGCCTCCACCCGGCTCTGGAACAACTTCTGCCTCAGGGCCGGAGGCGAAGGCAGCGCGCTGGGGGCCGGAGCCCATCTGGCAGCAAACACAGGATTAAAGCTCAGCTTTAATTTTAATACCAAATAAAATCAATCTGCATATTTCTTGTTACTTTCCTAATTTTTCTACCTAAACATTTAATACTTTAATGAAACAAAGTCAGGAATCAAAGCAGAAATTATAAATAAACTGAAGTCGTTTTGAGCTCAGTGACAAATTCAGCATTTTGGTCCCTTTGCAAAAAAACTTCCTGTTTGTTTAATAAGTTGAACAAAAGCAGATTTTGATGCTTCAAAGTTAAAGCAGAACAGAATCATTTCCTACTGTGAGAAAAGATTCATCTGTAAGTTAAAAATAAAATCCATCTGGATGGATGTTCAGGTTCTGCAGAAACCAAACGACCGAGTCCAGATGTGATCAAACATCTTCCTCACCCCTCCTCTTCCTCCCGCTGCGTCTCCCTGTGGGTCCGATCCACGGCCAGAACCCACTCAGCCGGAGGCCGGAACCCGTCCAGGGAACCGCTGGGGAAGAAAACCAGAACCTCTCCGTCCGCCGTCAGCGCGTCTGGAGCAGAGAGCAACGATTAGAGCAGGTGTGTCAAACTCATTGTTTTGGGCCAAATCAAGATCATGAAGGCTCTTAAAGGGCCGGTTGTGCCAGAATGTGTTGATAAAGCCTGTTCACAAACTGTTAATATGTCAATGAATTCTTAAAATTACATAATATTATTGAACTTCTTTTCAGTCTCTTCAGGAACTAATAATAA